GAGCCCCTTCTTCAAGTATTTTGAAAATTTGTTATCAAGTGCATATACATTTTGGTATTTTTTGTCCTCTTATGAATTGATCCCTTAATCATTATGAAATGTCTCTCCTCCGCTAAGCTAATATTCCTTGCTCTGATTTTTACTTTGTCTGATAGTATAGCCACTCCAGCTTTCTGTAACTAGCATTTGCACAGTATATCTTTTTCTTTTAGCCTATCTATACCTTCATCTTTAAAGTGGGTTTCTTTTAGACAGTATATAGTTGCATATTTAATTTATTCATTTATTTATTTTTGAGGAAGATTAGCCCTGAGCTAACACCTGCTGCCAATCCTCCTCTTTTTTCCGAAGAAGACTGGCCCTGAGCTAACATCCGTGCCCATCTTCCTCTACTTTATATGTGGGACGCGGTACCACAGATGGCGTGCCAAGTGGTGCCTTGTCCGTATCCGGGATCCGAACCGGCCAACCCCGGGCCGCTGAAGTGGAATGTGTGAACTTAACCACTGTGCCACTGGGCCAGCCCCATAGTTGCATCATTAAAAAAAACTAATATGACAACTTCTGCCTTTTATTATTTACATTTATTTGCATTTAATATAAATGGTCTAAACATCTACAGTCATTGACCATGTGGTCCAGGCTCAGACATGTCAATTGAGACATATAATTTGTGACCCAAAAGCAATTTCAAAATTACAAGTTTTTTAATTGCAATTTTTCAGATATCCTAAAGTGGATACATAGACTACAACGATCCTCAAAATTCCCTTTCATTTTTCTTCTACTCTTCTCACGCAGTGCAACTCTTCACACTCCTTTCTCTTCAACTCTTTAAAAAACTGCTCCCAATAGTGTCTTGGGTTCCTGTCCTCCCCTTCCCCTTTCCTCCTAATTCTGCATTACAAGAGTTCAAAGAGATAGTTCTGACACTCCTCTTCCCCCTATCTTGGAGGATGAGGGAAAGAAAGAAATTGAGTAGGCAAAACTAGAGTCCTCTTTGGCCCACAGAAGGAGAGAAACATCTGGGAACAATTGTACATTAATATCTGGCTGTGCTCTCTCGTGGTTAACCTCATGGCTGAAAAGAAATGACCAATGTTAAAATGTGCCATCATGCATTCAATTCCTCTCTTCACAATCCAGTGCCTCCCTTGCCTACGTTGTTAGCTTGTGCTGTGTGGGAGAGGGTATAATTCCTCTAGCATTTAATCCTCCACCCTCTCCAGACAGTGTCTTTAGTAGGGAAAGGAAAAGAGAGCACAGACGTGTGAGCATTCCTTCAACAAATATTTATGGGGTACTATCTACGTGTGAGGTGCTCTTTGGGGTGCTTCAGGGTGAGCGAGTCAGACAAGACTCTTGATCTTGCAGTGCCCACCTCCTAGTGAAGAAGACACACAATTACCAAATCAGATGTATAAGTTCAGATGGTGGTTATGGGCCACGAGGAAAAGAAAGCAATTGGCAGCAGAGCGACGGCTGCTTCTTGCAGGGTAGTCCAAGCACTGAATGATGTAGGGGAGTCAGTCATGGGAATGTCCAGGGCAGATTTCTTAGGCAAGGACGAGCACGTGAGACAGAACAAAGCTAGGTAGGTTCAAGACGCTGGCGTGCCTCAAGCATCATGAACAAAAGGGAGAGTGGAGACCAGGAGAAGAGGTTAAGGGGGTAGCCAGGCACATTCATGCACGACCTGATCCGTCAGGGTAGGATTCTAGAGCAGAGCTGTCCAAGGGGAATATAATGTGAACCTTGTGTGTAATTTTAAACTTTCTCATTACTGTGTTAAAAGAACTAAAAAGAAACAGGTACAATATTTATTGTGTATTATTTTTAACCAAATTTATCCAAAATTGTATCATTTCGATATGTAAGAAATATAAAAACTGTATATAAATGTTTTACATTTTTACATTTTTCTTTCTTACTAAATGCAATGGACTGAATGTTTATGTTCTCCCTCTCCCCTCCAAATTCATATGTTGAAATCCTAACTCCCAGTGTGACGGTATGTGGAGGGAGGCCTATGGGAGGTGATTAGGTCATGAGCATGGAGTCCTCATGGATAGGATTAGTGCCTTCGTAAAAAGGGACCAGAGAGAGATCCCTTGCCCCTTCTGCCATGTGTGGACACAACGAGAAGGCAGCTGTCTATGAACTGGAAAGCAAGCTCTCACCAGACACCAAATCTGTGTTTTGATATTGGACTTCTCAGTCTCCAGAACTGTGAGAAATAAATGTTTGTTGCTTAAACTACCCAGTCTTTGCTACTTTGTTTTAGCAGCCTGAACAGACTAAGGCACTAAATCTTTGTGTTTTACACTTACAGTCACATTTCATTTTGGATGCTAAGTTTTCATCTGAAATACTCCATTTGCATTTAGATTTCATAAAGTTTATAGTTGAAAAAGTAGATTCAAATACCCCAGTTGTTCCCAATTTAAAAGTTTTCCAACAACTGAATCAAGTATCAGTTTTCAAATTAAATTTAAATAACATTAAAAATTCAGTTTGCAACATTTGAAGGGCTCAGAAGCGGCCTATGGCTGGTGGATATTATATTAGACAGCACATGAGGTTAGTGGGTGTCAATTACTGCAATAACCTCTTACCCCATATTTCTCCACAGAGCAGTCAGGGTGATCCTTGAAAAACGGAAATCAGATCACGTTGCCTCTACTTAGAGCCTCTAGTAGCTTCCCATGACATTTAGTAATCCCAGTGATTCAAGCGGGACATCCACTTTGAAGTAGATGAATGAGCTCACATGTTTACCAATCCCTCTTCCTGAAAACCCATTACAGTTACAGTAAAGAATTACAAGAGGAAATGAATCCATGAATGAAATAAGGGGTGGAGAAGCAGGGCTACATCAGCAAATCCAAGATTTTGGTGAATTTCTCTAAGACTGAAGGTAGATGAGATCTTATTGATGGGTAAAGCAGATAAGAAGGAGCCACAGCTCTCAGCACAGAAGAAACTGCAGTGGACAAGAGAGGATCTTTCTACAGCATCCCAGCCACTTAAACTGACATCTACAAAGAACTGGAGTGGGAGGAAAGGCACCAGTTCAAGGTAACTGATGGAAAACAGTCAGTGGAAAGGATATGTGGGTCAACTGCTCCTCTTCTCTTCCCCCAACCTTGTGTGTATTTTGGCAGTGTTTATCCTAGGCAGAGGCTAGAGAAATTCTTCTAAAGAAACTAAGTTATTTCCTGGGATGGCAGGAGTTGGGAAGTCTAATGTAGAATCCTACTCACTTTGGCATAGGGGTGAGGGAGGATGTCTTCCTGCCTGGCAGCTGACATACTCAGCTTGCACACAAAGATCATGTAATCAGCATTTTCATTCTGGGGAGAGATTGGTAATAGAAAAGAACTCAAGTAATTCACCTGGCTCTTCAGATTCATAAACATGAAAGGACAACCAAGGGTCATAAGATAGTTGAGCAAAACCAGCAGGGCCCAAATGAATAAACAGAATTCACCCTAGAAGAAACAGAAATAGTTCAGGGACCAGAAGAGAACTATTCAAAATGTTCAAATTAATATGCTCAGAGAAACTTGAGGTGACAGTGCATCTATAAAATATGAATAGGCAACTCTAAAAAAACCCCCAAAATAATTAATAAGTGTTATAAATATAATTCTAAAGTGAAAGAGTCAATAGAAGGGCTAGAAAAAAAGTCAAGGGTATCTTCCAGAATGTCGAACAAGGAGACAAAAAGAGAAAAGTTGAAATACAAAGAAGACCCACCAAGAAGGGCCAACACCCATCTAACAGGAGTTTCAGATTGAGAATAGAGGAAATAGAAGAAAATAAACAACAGAAGTAGATCTCCCAGAGCTAAAGAAAGATCCAAGTATTCAAATTGAAAGGTCTCACCCATTGTCAATCAGTGTGAATGAAGAAAGACCCACATCTAGCCATATCTTGGAGAAACTTCACAAGCTCAAAGACAAAAAGAAACCCTTAAAAGATTTCAAAAATAAAAACATGGAAGGTACATCAAGAGATGAGAATTATATTATCATGCTTCTTATCAGTTATACTAGTTGCTAGAAAGAGGAAATAATGCCTTTAAGTTTTCTGAGGGACAATGATTTTGAGGCAGAGTTCCATAGCTAGCCAAATGAGCATTTAAATAGGGAGCAAAATAGATTTTTTGACTTCCAAGGGCTGAGGAATCTATCATTCATAGATCCTTTCTGAATGACTTGCTTAAAGATGTATTATAGCAGAATGAAATAAGATTCTAAGAAAGAAGAAAATACCAGTTTGCAGAAACAGGGAAATCAAAGGAAATTCTAGAATGCTGGCTGTATAATAGGCCTAAAAAGAAAATATTGTGTAGAAACTGGATCATTTTCAAAGAGTAGATAAAGGTTTCTTATAGTATTACATTTAAAAATCACAATATAGTCCATTTTTCCCTTCAAGAACTGCAAGTTTAGTGACATAATTACATCATCTTCTCTGTTGGGTTCAAATGCTCTATTTGATTCTGCCATGAACATTTTTTATATCCTCAGCACACTACAGATACTCGTTCTTGGTTTTCAACGTTGGGAGTTAATGTATTGACACTGTAAGTAAGATTTAATCAACATTAGAGAACAAAGCATAAATGTTATAAATTCTGCCAATGAGAAGTAACGGCACGTTGAAAGGTATAAGTGGGGAGGAAAGAAAGATAAAGGGAAGCGAATGGGTGCTGCGTCCCTCACGTGTCACAGCAAAAAATTGAGATACTGCGCGTGGTGTTTGGAAGCTGGGTAGGGCAGGCAGGTGAGAAGGCAGTTTGGGAGGAGTAGGAAGCCGAATCTAGCAGCAGAGGCATGACGGGTACCACATTTGGACCAGGATGAGACAGAAAACGCCGGAGGCCCAGCAACGTATACGAACGAGCTTAGACCTGAGGAGAGTGCGTTGAGCGGAAGGGGCGGGGCAGGGGCGGAGCATAGCAGGGCAGTGAGCGGAAGGGGCGGGGCTAAGCCGGCGTGGGCGGGGACAGGGCAAGCGGGAACTGTCCGTGGCCCAGGGCACCTGCGCAGATCGGCCACGTCAGTCTTGGAGCTCATCCCGTCAGGGCTTACCTAGCGCGTGCCATACCGTCCGCTCGGTCTCGCCTCGACGAACGCGCCATGTCTCGCCTGCCCGTTCTCTGCCTGCTCCTCCTCCTCCGCCGCCGCCGCGTGATCCCGCTTGGCCTGCAGCTCGGCCGCCGCCTGGGCCACTCGGAGCCCCGTGGCCGCCAAGAGCCCGCGTCGCCCGTGGTGAGTTGGGGCGCACCCGCCATGGCGCCCGGACGGGACGGGGCGGGTGGGAGCGTGTGGCCGAGGTGGGGGCGCCCCGACGGGCGGGGAGGCGGTCGGCTGGGGCCCTCGCTCACGTGGGAGGCTCCCGCCGTCTGAGGGGCTCGGAGGCCGCTGTGGGGAACCGAGCGCCCGTGGCGGGGCCCGAGGGGCAGGCCTGCGTGCGGCCGCCTGTCGGGCGCGGAGTCCGAGGGGCGGAGCCGGCGTTGGCCGCAGAGCCTCTGCCGCCCTCCAACGCCCTCTTGGTCGCCGCGACTTAGCGTGTTCCCTAAAATGGTGGGAATCCTGGGCAGCGTCTAGGTTCCAGCGTTCGGAGGTCGGAACTGGGGAACCGTTAGAGAAAAAATGAGTTTTTTCCACAAATTTTAAGTTGGGTCGTCGAGGAATGGAATGCCTGCTTTTTAGGTTTCGTCAGGCCCCCGTTTCTAGGACAACAGCCAAATTCCTCAAAACGGTTCAGGCGGTCCTGTTGGGCACTGAGTGGCTGGCCCGGGAAGCCGTCCCCATTGACAGCACTTTGCATCTTCTGTTCCAGGAAATGGGCGTCGGGCTCGTGGTCTTTTTTACCGCCTTCTTAACGCCGTGTGGCTATGTGCTGAGCAGCCTGAAGCAGTTCAGAAGGCAGTAGACGGAAGAGCGTGTGCAGCCCCAGCTGGCGTCCAGCGCGCTTTCAGACAAGGCCGCGGCTTCCATAAATGAGAAGGCGCTTAGCTGGGTTGGTGATGCAGCCATTGTGGGTATTCGCTTTCATAACCGGATGTTTATGGGAAACGTTTTGCACTGTTTTAATCCTGTGCATTCTATAAAGATGCGTTGTATAGTCATTGAAAACTATTAAATAAAATGGAAACGTTCATGCTTGGTATTAGATGTGATCACAGATTGTTTTCTGAACATCCTTAGAGCTGATGGAAATTTACTCGTGAAAAATGCAATAATGAGAACTGCTGGGAAGGGTCAGACGTAGTGACTGGGATGGTGCCGTCAAGGGTTATATTATGGGAGCGAATGCACGTCTCCAGTGACATCATCGAAAGACCGGATATGTAGCAGCAAGGCAGCATAAGTTCAGTTAAATGGTTCTTCCCACCATTTTTGTGTCCCATTGGTACTGCCACTTACAGTAGTGAGGTCCAGGCACTGATTTTCACTGTGAAATGAACTTTTTATTAATTTGAGAAATATAACTTTTAATTAATTTGTCTTAAAACGCTTCTTTAAATTTCTACGTTCCAGGATTTAGTAAGTACCTGTGTACTTTATTAATATCTCTCTTAATTTATTGATTCTATTAGTCTCTCCATGTCATCTTTCAAGTTTGAAGAGTCGTGTTCAGCTGTTGGGATTTTAGCTCGCTCTGCTGACTGGGCTGACTGGCCGGTGTAGTGCAACTTTGAGCTTCGATTTCCTTCTCTCTGTGACGGGAACTTAAAATTTTCATCTTGAAGGGATGTTATGGGGGAATAAAACATTGAACAAAGATAAAACACTTCCTAGCATGGTGCCTTAGACAGAGTAATCAATAAATAGGAGTTATTGTTAAGAGAAGGTATGTTTACTAATAGTCGTTTATTCAGCAAGGAGTGCATTCCTGTGATGTGGCAGATAGTGTCCAAGGCCAGTAAGCCAGAAATGGATCCCTGCCTCTTGTAGGGCTTGGAGAACTTGCATTCTCATTGCTTTACTATTCTTATCTTTCCATTTTGAAATTTATATTGGTGTATTAGGGTTCTCCAGAGAAACTGAACCAATAGCATGCGTGTACGTGTGTGTGTATGCAGTCATGCCTCACATAACGACGGGACACGTCCTGAGAAATGTGTTCTTAGGTGATTTCATCATTGCGTGCACATCACGCAGTCCAGTTACACAAACCTAGATGGTGTAGCCTGCTACACGCTACACATGTGGTACTAGTCTTATGAGACCACTGTGGTATATGCGGTCCATCATTGATCAGACATGATTATGTGGCTCATGACTGTATAGAGAGAAAGAGAGGGAGAAAAACTGACTGATTTTGAGCAATTGGCTCACACAATTGTGGAGGCTGGCAAGTCCAAAATCTGCAGGGTAGACCAGCAGGCTTGGAGAGTAGGGAAAGAGTTGCAGTTTGAGTCTGAAGTCAGTATTCTAGCAGAATTTAACTTCCTCAGGGGGAGTCAGTATTTTTCTTAAGGCCTTCAACTGATTGGATGTGGCCCACCCACGTTATAGAGGGCAGTCTACCTTACTCAAAGTCTCCTAATTTAAATGTTAATCCTATCCGGAAAATACCTTCACAGAAACATCTGGAGTAGTATTTGGCAAAATATCTGGGTACTGTGGCTTAGCCAAGTTGACACAAAATTAACTATCACAATTGGATAAAATAATTTTTCAGAGGGAAACCATGAAAAGCGTTTGTGATACTCCTAAAATTTAAAGGTATGAGTAGAGTGGCTAATTGAAATCTTACTAATTTGTTCGATCTACTTTCTCTGTTCACTAGTGGCAAACCTGTTCTTAGGCTCTTTAAAGAACTCTGGCCCATCAGGACACAGACTCAATCTTCTGGTTTCTTGTATTCACCAAGACCACATTCCTGCTGCCCATTTGGAACTTAGTTTTTTCTTCTCTGACTCTGATGACTTTGTGTTTAAGCTTCTGATGTCTGCCTCCCTGTGTTCCAACTAATGACAAAAGACTGGTTTACTTTTGTCCTGGCTGGGGAAAAATACTGATCTCTAGGAATCTTTTCCATAGAACTTTAGCACTTAATTTTCGGAACCATTTATTTGACACTCTTATTTATTGAGTATTCTCATGGAATAATGCTATGTGTTGGGAAATGATAACTTATTTTCCTGGATGAACCCTTTTGCCCTGTCTTGTTACTTAATTTTACACGCATAAAGGTGTCACATTTGAGGTATAGTTGATTTGTGTTATTTGGGGTAGTTATGTTCTATAAAGTCACTGTGAACACTGAATTAGTGAATGTTAAAATATTGCTCTTAGAGCAAATACAGGGTTAGGTTCCTGTGAGCCTCTAGTCACCTTTTTGTCAACCTGTCAATTCATAACCTTGCTTCATGTGTTTCTGTTTAAAGACACCTTATTTAATGTATGTCGTCGATTCATGATTCATAAGCATCGTACTCATGGCCAACAGCACTATAACTCAAGCCTGAATGAAGCTTATCTAATATGCATATTTTTCTATAAGACACATCATAGTCTTCTTGTGCCTAGAAACTCTGGACAGCACTTCAGAACTATGCATGTGGGGCACTTTAAGGAGCAAAATCAACAAAAAGTACAAAAATGTAAAAGATGTGACACTAAATAGACCTTAGAAAGGACACTTGTTTACAATATGACAGCTGAAACAAGAAGACAGAATGTCGCCTTATTTAACCTCAGCATTGGCTGATAGAAAACTTTTGCCACTTTATGCGTCTGTGAATGATGTGAAAGCGTTGTGTTGATTTTGGGGTTGGAAATCAGTTTTAGCAAGTAGAATATGCAAATATGGAATCTACAAATAATGAGGACCAAGTGTAATTCTTAGAGGAGGTCTTGCTCCCATTTGTGAAACTTTGGGAATTCTTACTGTGAAATTTTAAGAATTTTCAGGATGTTCTTTTGGGAAGAATTAAGTGTGGAGAAACCACCTCTTGAGGTTGGGTTTTTGTGGAATAGTTAAAAAAATGTGAGTTTGACTTTGGGGAATAAATGAAGTAGTGCAACTCTTGGTTTAAAAAGTGAGATTTGATGATTAATGATTTTCTTGGTGAAACTGACTGAGGGAAACTGTGAAGGGGAGATTATAGAGTATTTTGATAATGATATCATTGGTGGATTAGAGCTTTCACTATCTGTTTCCCAGATAATTACTTTATTGGCCAACATCCAGTTGGGTATAAAATTCTGGTATCTGATAAAGGGTTGACTCATAGCATATAGACAATAATGTCTATCTGTCTCATCTCCACAGCCAGATTTAAAATTCCTGGAGGAAGAGTGAGATACAGTAATAGGTAATATATATATATTTTTGGTGAGGAAGATTAGCCACGAGCTAACATCTCTGCCAGTCTTCCTTTATTTTGTGTATGGGTTGCTGCCACAGCATGGCTTACAAGTGGTGTAAGTCTGTACGCAGGATCCGAACTCGTGAACCTGGGCTGCTGAAGTGGAGCACACCGAACTTAACCACTGTGCCATGGGGCTGGCCCTGGTATGGTAGTATTTTTAATCCTTAGGTGAAGCATATTGGATAAATCAGAATATTTACTCTTTGATCAGAAGACTGAAGTTGCTTCTTCGTATAAACAAGTATTTGTGAACATCTATTAAGTATTCTGTAGATGGTAACACAGACAGTTCTATCTAAGTGTTTTTCCAGCTTAATGCTTGGCACATATTCTGAGCTTTTTTTTTTAAATACTAATTGGGTGGGTTAAACTGCTGGTAAGACAGACAGGGTTCATCTCTCCAGTTTCCATCTTTTCTCTTAGTAGCTGTCTGTAGTGCTGTGTTGAGGAAGATTATAGAAGAAATGGGATAATTTTAGTTAGCAGTATAAATAAAATGTAGCATTTATGTTGACTTAGCATATTTTTCTTTCATAACATTTGGCAAAAAAATTTATAGAATTTGTAAATTTAGGTCTACATGTAGGCAAGACCTTGTAAATCATATGTAATATATTTATAAGCATGATAATATTTAATTAGTAAGCATGATAAATTCAATATTTGTGGGAAATATTCTTAGTTTTTATAAGAAAGGTGATAATTATAAAATATTTCTCTTCAGAAGAATCAAGAGTGAGCTGTTTTTCAATACAGGAAAAATGTTTTCTGTTAAGTTCCCTTTATTTTTAAAATTCTGTTGCTATGGCAAGTTGCTGAATTTGGGTAGATCACTTAATTTCTGGAGGCCAGTTTCCTTTTCTGTAAAATGAACAGGTTGACCTAGACCAGTTGTTTTTAACTTTTTGCTTTATTCAAATTACTATATCATCATTGAAAGACTTTGTGGCTTACCATGTAAGCAGGACATTTTGAAAAGAATTTTTAACAGTAAACCTGAGGTTAGTAAGAATTAAACTTTATAGATCAAGTACTATTTAAAATTGATCCTATTTATAACTTATGCACATCTGCAGAAACATAAACATGCAATATGATGTATGTTTATCAATGGGTAGGCCCATCAATGGGGAAAATCACTTCTCTAATGTCATATACATGACATCAGCCTTCACTCCTCTCGGCTTTACTACTCCATTGTTCCCACCACACCTTTCCTTGGCATCACTTAGACTTCTGCTCCATTCTCCTCCATCAGGATCCTCTGATTTTTCCTTTTTCACTTATCTGGTCTTTTCACCTTATCCACTTTAAGTGTTCTATTGCCATACCTTTAACTTCTTTGCCTTTTATCTTTTTGTTCATGTGCCCTACAGAGTACAAACCCTGGATCAGTCTTAGTCCTGGATTTTGGCTCAAGCAAGTGCTAGAGAGGGAATCAAAGAATCACACTATTAGTGCTATAAGAAATTCATTGTCTCCAAACTCATAAGCCTGCAGTGCTTCTTGAAATTCTTTTCTCTTTTCATGGTAGTGGCTATGTTAAATCTCATTTTGACTTCTTATTCTGTTAGACCCCTACTCAGTCTTAGCAGACTGCCTCACCTCCTACTTCACAGAGAAAGGTGAAACTATTCCTTAATGACTTCCCCAATATCTACAAATGTAACTGAATTCTACCCATCTTTATATTTTTGTTGTTTTTTGTTTGTTTGAGGAAGATTAGCCCTGAGCTAACATCTGCTGCGAATCCTCCTCTTTTTGCTGATGAAGACTGGCCCTGAGC